GGGGGTGTATATGGGAGGAACATCGTCCGTCGGACCGTCGACACAGAGCCCGCATTCTGCCCCGCTCGGTGCAGCGATCACCAGCCTCGCTTTTCCGCGGCCCTGCTTTCTGGAGGCGAAGCCTAGCGCACAGTGGCAGTTCGAGCCAAAAGTTTTGGGTGCTCATCAAATAAACCAATTCAAGGCATGTTATTGTGCACATTGTGTCTTCGTCGCTTGTCATTCAATCAGCACCAACTGTTCAGCATCTTCTGTTACCCGGCTTGACAATTTGGAGTATGCGAAATTGCGATTTCCCCTGAACCTCAGTGGTTGATCGATTCTCGAAGCTTGAAAGACAGTCAAGGCTTGTTTCCAAGGATACCCTCGATCTCCTCCATGACTTCAGGAGTCAGCTTAGGGAGCAACTTCAGAGCAGCGCAGTTGTCGTGAACCTGCTGCACCTTACTGGCACCCAAAATGACGGTCGATACGTGAGGATTCTTTGCAGCCCAGGCGAGTGCCAGTTGGCTCGTCGAAGCATCGAGCTTCTCAGCAATTTTGGTCAACTTCTTGACCTTCGCGATCTTTGCCTGACCCTCATCGCTCTTCAGCTCATCAATTGTCTTTTTGAAAAACGCCTGGTTGGTAGCGAAGCGAGAGTCTTCAGGGATGCCCTCATTGTACTTGCCTGTCAAGAGACCAGACGCAAGCGGACTCCAAATAGTTGTGCCGTACTGGAACTTCTCGTACAAGGGAGCGTACTCCTTCTCGAATCGCTCGCGGTGGAAGGCGTTGTACTGAGGCTGCTCGACAATGGGAGCGATGAGGTGGTACTTCTCCGCGATCTCGGTGGCTTCCTGGATTTGAGCGGCAGACCACTCCGACGTTCCCCAGTAGTAGGCGAGGTTCATGTGGATCGCCTGAGTGAAGGCTTCAACGATCTCCTTCATGGGAACACTACAAGATATCAGCTTGGCACGTACCTAAAGTGGAGTGCGACATACTCAGGATCGTGACGATGAGCGAACACAACATCCACGTAGTCGTGCTGCAGGCGCTTCAGGGAGCTCTTCAAGCCCTCAACAATGTGCTTCTTGCTAAGACCACGAGTGTTGGGTTCCTTCCTCGAGGTTCCAAAGAAGACCTTGGTGGACAAGACATACTCGTCACGCGGCCATGCGAGCTCCTTGAAGGCGTTGCCCATCTCGATTTCACACTGGCCCGCGGAGTAGACCTCAGCAGTATCGAAGAAGTTGACGCCGTGACCCCAAGCTGCATCCGTTAGGACCAATGATGGAAAAAGCGTGAGATGGAGAATTACCTGCTTCCATAATCTCCTTTACGATGTTTCCTTTTTGCTACAGGGTTCATTAACTCGGTGCTTCCCTTTGGGGATCAATTGAGCCCTTACTGTTCCTCCGTAGGTCAACCAGCCTCCAAGAGAGAACACGGAGACCTTGAGACCTGCAGGCCCCAGGCGACGGAACTCCATGTCCTTGGGATCGAACTTTGACTCGACGGCAGGCATTTCAATGGATCTATTCAAGTACGCTTGGGTAACGGTGATGGGAAGGACTCAAATGCGAGTGGTCTCACCATTAAGTACCGTGGCAGCCGCTTTGGTGGGGTAGGGCATGACAAAACGTCGTTCTTAACTCCGGCCGCGGTTAATAAAATGCGAAAGAGGAAGAAACGCCCTTCACATCTGCAAAGCGCTTGCAACATATCATCGTGACTTCAACGCGCGCAGTCCACCATAGAGCAAACTCAGATTCACTGTGCAGGATCAGTCTGACGGCGGCGTAGTTGCCGTCGCACCCAATTATGTGCGCTGCGGTCAGCCTGCGGATGCGACCGAGGACGATCAGCCACACATGCGCACAGGACGCGAAGACACGAAGCTGGGGAACCTATCAAGAGCCGGTGCAGGGCTGGACGGACGCGGTTGGCAAAAGCTTGACCAGCCGCGTTGTTTCGAAACACGGGCGTTGCAGGGGGTGCTAAGTTCGGAATGACCTGACGAATCACAACTCTAAGACCGCTCAGCACTCAACTGTTCATAATTACCGTCGCCGCAAGGACTGGCAAGCGTTCGTCATCCAGCTCGAGGCGCCCCCTGCGCAAGAAATGCTCACTCGTTGGAATGAACAATGTCAGCTCTGGTTTAAATAGCTGCTTTGCCTCCCTCATTCACTGCCCTCTACGCACACGCACTCGCTCAGCCACCTTGCTCTCATTGAATCTCCTTTGCTGGTCTAGGAATTCATTGTTTCGTTCTCAGACTCTCATTCAAAAGCAGTCCATGACTCTTTGCACTTCACAAGTTTGAACCTTTACCACCAGTCTCTTACCAATCCGAAATTCAAATCCATAAAATGCTCTGCAAAACCATCCTTTTGGCTGGAGCTCTCGCGCTTGGTACCTTTGCCGCACCTATTCCCGACTGCCCTGAGAAAGAGAACTCATACACCGCCCCTTCGACCGACAATAAGACGGTCACTGGCTCTGTGACTGCAGACCAGCTTACCCAGATCGCCCCGGAGGCTGCATCCTGCTCTGGCGCACCATTTCCAGAGGAATGCGCTGATGCCACCGCTGCGGCGACTGCCCTCAACAAATCCTTCGACACATATGGCATCAAGACTGCTGGAGAGAAGGCAGCACTTATTGCCTACACCCTGTTTGAGTCCGGCAACTACAAGTACAGCAAAAACCACTTTCCTGGTCGTCCTGGTCAGGGAACCCGTATGATGGCCATGCCTCCATTCATCGCAAAGTACGCCACTGCTGTCGCTGGCGCAGAAGCTGTTACTACAGCAAACGCCGTAGGAGGTGATGCTGGACTGGACGCTGTTCTTGCCCTCGTCAACAGCGACGATGAGAAGAGCTTCGGCAGCGCTGCCTGGTTCTACAGCACACAGTGCCAAGAGGATGTCAAGGCAGGTGTTGCTGCCGAGACCATTGAGGGCTGGCACAACTTCTTGACAGCGTGCGTCGGCACCACTTTGGATGAGACTCGCGATACCCCGTGGGTCACTGCTAAGGCCGTCATTCTTGCTTAGAGTTTTGTCTGGACGAGTTTGAGATAGCTTATGATGGTGACGAGTATATTTTTATTGGGAGCGTAGGAGCTAGGAGTATCTTTGCGTCAATACCTTTTGTATTTTCCTCAATTGTAACATTCAACCTTCATTCGTATCGCTGCTGTGAATCGTTCACATTGTCTCGCTCAAGTTGTCCGTTCTGAGACTAGCCCCGATGGCTTCTATGCATATCCGCAGCGCGTGGTGCTTGCCCTGTTCAGCGCAGCGTCCTTGAAGGTAGCCGTGATACAGTTGAAAGACTGCGACTTCCTTCGCCCCTGTCCTTTTTGCACTCTCGCCATGACATACCTATCCACATTCTCCACTACAACCTACACATATGCAACTCTGCCACCTCCAGCCATCGGTCTACTTGAGCTTACGACTGACATCATACACCAGGACAAGGACATCTTTGAATTCGAATACTGCATCTTGCACGTTGAGCCGCCAGCGGTCGATCTCCAGTACCAACGTTCGCTGCGGTGTCATACACCTGGGTGACCACGCAAAAATATCGATCTCACAAATACAGAATGCAAAAAGTCATGTTGCGTTTACCGCAACCCGCACCGAGGCACTCTCACATGTAAGCCGACATTCTTCGACGAAGCAGTTATGAATCGACCAACTCTGCATCTATAAAGCGGATAGCACCGAAAAGTCAGTCTCAGTAGGCCTAGTGGCCGAGATCTACAGCAAGGGAAGAAGTGTGATTGTTTGGCTTGGTTCAGAAGACGACAGCATCAATGTGTGTAGGGATGGCTGGAGGCACTCGACCTGCTCCTACCTGTAGACAGTCATACACAGAACGAAACATGAAGGGGAAGCCATATTGTCGTTTTGCATGGGTGCATTCCCCTCGTATTGAACCTTGTGATCAAAGAACGTCAAGAATATTGGGTTATTGAGGAAGCGTATGCAAAAGTGATCGACCACCGAAAGCGTACGCAAAAAGGATCATGCACGGAGAAGCGGCAACTTGGGTCGAAGATGGAGCTGATAGGTTTATTGTGGTGTGAAGAATATACGACACACTTTCATTATAATTAGCAATACTATGTGTTCTGAAGTAGCTTTAGACCCAGTGCCGCCCATCTGCGCGTCCACCGAGTGCATCGACAGCAAAAGCGCCGACATCCTCGTAAGACATGTTTTCCGAGCATTCCGGGCAGACGCACCGCTCTCGCCTGTCCATGCTGTTCTCCACCCAGGCTTGCATGCAAGCCATGCATGTTGATGTCTCGTGCCAGCAGTTCGCTGTGATTCGTCGTGTGTTAAAGTCGTCCATGGGCTTTGAGGCCTTGCAGAGAAGACACGTGCGCTCGAGCATCGGCGTGCCGCGTCGTGGTGTTGAGGTCGATGAACTTGCGAACGGCGGCTGGGGTGCTGTCATGACAGTGGGCGAGATGAAGCTCAAGCATGAGGGTGCTGCACTTGAAGCACTTGTCCGGGATGTTGAACTTGTAGCCATGTGCGAGGAAAACGTGCTGCTGCGGTGGGAATGGAGCGAGGTGGGACGACTTTCGAACATCTCGCGCGGCGAGCTTGGGCTGAGTGGTGAGGGGTAGCCGTGACCAGGTGATAGCAGCGGGTTGCTACTCTTGCGTCGCTGTGGGTTGTTAAGGGGGTTGGAGATTGAGGCAGGCGGGCTGGGTGGAGTGGCGTTCGGATCCGCTGTGCCTGCCCAAGGTGCAAATGGCGGTGGTAGGACAGTAGAGTTGCGCGGTGACTTATCGAAAGACATAGCAAGCGGCGAGTGCTGTGGTGTTGGCAGAAAGTCCAGAGGTTTGAGCTGCGATTGAGGATCTGGCAAGGGTGTAGGCTCAGCTTCGCTGTGGATGGGCTCGTTGTAAGACGAGTAGCGGTGGGTGATGATGGAAGCCTGGTTGTTGACCTCGGGTACGTTCTGGCTTACACACCTGAAACCCTCGATAACAGCAGCCCTATCCAATTCATTGGCATTTGAGGCACGCTTAGCTGGCTTCGCGAACTTGAGAAGATTCGGTATCGTGGACCATCGATTCTTCGCCTTGTTCCCTTTCTCTGCCTTGGCTGCCTTCTCCTTCTCGAGCTCCTTCTCTTCATCACTCAGCATCCTCCCTCCAATGCGCTCGAATGTGTTCTTACGCTCGAATGGAGGTGCTGAGACAGGTACAGGTGATGCCACAACAGCACCCTCTCCCCAATGTGTTTCCTGCACCCCATATGTTGTGTCCCGGTCGTAGTGTTGATCGACAAGGTTATCTGGGTTTTCGCCAGACATCTTGCGTGAGAAGTTCGGGTAGGTGTTCAGCCTAGAACTTCTCGACGACGCAATCTTTGTCTTCGATCGGTTGCGAGAGTGGTATGATGCGAACGACATGGGACGTGGCCTGCCCTCTAGCCATGGCTTTTCGATGGACTCGAAGCTCTCCCGGCCCGAGTCGTACGGTTCGGAATGCTGGGGTTGCTTCGGTTGCTTCGTTTGTGCTGGGTGTGCCGGCGGGGCGCCCCAAGTCTGTGGGTGCATCAGGCGAAGGTCTGGCTCGTCCTTGCCGAAAGACGAGAAGCTAGGGGTAGAGGATAAGGTAGGCTTGGCAAGAAGGTTTGCGCTGTCGAGCCGCAGCGATACAGGTCGTTGCTGGCGAGCATGCTGCTTCAGTGTGTTCGACAGGGCGGCCCATTCCGGAGAGGACGAGTATGAGGCTATCGATTGAATCTCCTCTCGGTTGTACGACGGCGGCATCCAGTCTGTCGATTCGACTCGCTTGATATCGAATGACTTCTCCAGTTTGCTGACTCTAGGCTCTACGAGCTTCTGTACTGCTTCGACCGAGTCGAAAGACGCCGGAGACGGTCGTTCCGGCTTGGTCCATTGCTTCTGTGGTACCACAGGTGAGATGTTGTATTCCTTGGTTAAGTGATTGTCTCTATTGGTGGAGGCTGGATCAGCACGTGCTTGAGGCGTGACGGACGGCTCAAGATCCTCAAAGACTGAGAGCCTGGACGACTGCTCGAAGTCGAAAGTAGAATGCCTCCATGCCATCTCGAAGATATCGAGTGAAAAGCGGAGAAGGTAGGGATTGGATGGCAGTAGAAAGTAACTTACTGGCGTGTGTGGGTCTTGGGTGCCTCCGGGGTTGAGTCGTCATCGCTCTCTTTTTCAGACTCCACATCTGAAACATCCAGATGCGCATAGAGCGGCCTCTCCAGCCATCTTGTAGTGATCGACTTCTCACGGAACAATTTTGCTTCTGCTGATTCTGCAAGCAGGCCGAGCATGCGCTGCGCTTTCGCAGTGTCTCTCGTGACGGGTTGAGGGTGGCGAAGAGCAGGGTGCTGGGATAAATCTGGTACCGCTAATATAGCCATTGTGGATCACCGTTGTGGAAGTCGCCAGCCAGCAATATTCAGGAGGGAAAGAACGAGTGAATAGAAGGCAAAAATGAATGTAGGCACGAGCAAAACGATAAGGCGGCGCACAAATGTTACTGCCCCGCGACGGCGTGGGACAACATCGTGATTATCAGCATTCGCAATGCCCCCGTTAGGGTAACCTAACACGAGGGCTGGGGTTGCACGTCCAGCCCACCAGCATTCTCGCGGCTACACAAGACTTGACAGAACCGTCTTAAAGCTGCAGACCGTGCAAATCAACGTTAGCTCATCTCGCACGACAGAGAGACTTTCCCATTCGCTGCGGAGGGTGGCTCTCAATGGTTGTGTTGTCATCTCTTGCTCGGCCCGCGAGCGAACGGAGCGAGAGGTTCTATTTTTGGCCGCTAGGAATCGGTACGTGAGCGCCGCGACGCTTGTGGCAATGCGTGCTTAAGGGTTGGTCAGAGCCATGAGAGGTGGGATTCGCGTGATAAGGTTACGACGACGCTGATGCAGCGGCTGTTCTTGCCGGCGATCCAAATTTGAGCCCACGGTGCACCCACTTCTCACACCGAGGAGCATATACACGACTGAACGGCTCACCGCATATCGTTGTCGCACTGTCGTCCCGGTTGCGAGCTGTGCGTTGTTATTCTGCGTTGCTTGGTGCCCAGCGACCAAGTCGGTCTCCGAGGCGATACGGAATGCTCTGGAGATGGTATTGAACTAAACAGCTGGTGGCTGGTAAAAACACGCCTCTCACAGTCAGCGGAGGCGATTGCCGTACGCTGGCCGCTTCTGATGGCAACAAATGGAAGCGACGGCAGGTAGCGTCTTCTTGTAGTTCAACCGCATCGAGTTTGTGAAAATTGCATCGTTCTGTGGTCTCGATGGCTGGCGAACAGTGTGCACCTGGTGGCCTTGTTTTTCGAAATCAAGGATTAGTTATGTTGCTTCCAATTCATCCTTGCTTCACCAAATTCACCCTGTGCTATGAGGGTTTGCAATCAAGCTGCCGTTCCGATCAGTGATGTTTGTAATTACGGTATCTAGAAAGGTCAGCCAGATGTGCACTCGGGCTGCTTTGACGAGGGCTTGAACCACTGGAGTTATAATCGTCATGAGGTAGTCGTCCCAACATCGTTGCTTGCACGACTGTCTTCATATGTTCAAATCACCATTGCAGGTATGATTATCGCCGCACGTGACCGTGACTACTGCCTGAGAAGGAAGTCGCGCTCCCGTCACTAGCGTGCCTTCCTGCCAAGAAGCTCGTGGAAGCTATGAGGAAAAGTTCCGGACAGCAACAGCCTGCCCATCACAAACCTACCCCACATCGTCAGTTAACGCGCAACGCGATGCCAGGTCCGCGCGCAGGAAAGAGCTCGAGGGCTATCGGTCCCTCCGATGGGGCCTCGTCCGGCAAGCAGTCCCTGAGCGAAGCACAGGATTCCGAACTTTACAGCAATGGCGGCGACATGTCTGGCTACAACATGTCCATTGCTGCTGTGGATGGCGACGATGATATGGAGGATGTCGCACTTAATGGAAGATCACTGGTCGGACAGTACACCGCGTCAAAGGACATGCTAAACGAGTTCGCGCATGGCGATACTGCAGAGGCAGACATCCTCGACAGCCGTGAGAAGCAGGCCCAGATCGCATCGCGAGAGACAGACTATCAAAGAAGGCGATTCGACCGCAGACTATCGCCGGAACGCGCCGACGCTTTCGCAGAGGATGGCCAAGGAGAAGGCGCAACATACAAGGAGGTCATGGCGGAGCGCCAGCTGGAGCGCGAGGAGGAACGCGTCAGGAGGGCTATCGACGAGAAGGAGAAGTCCGGAAATAACGAAGTGCTGGATCACAAGCCTACCCTGACGGATGATGCCACGGCACCAGTCAACGGCGACAAGACCCCGCCCATGGAGAAGAAGCGTAAAAGGAGAAGATGGGATGAGGGCGCCACTGATGACGCTCCAGCTGTCAAGGCTGAAGCCAAGGAAGAGCCCGAGGTCAAGAAGTCGAGATGGGAGACGGGTCCTGAGGAACAGAAGGCGCCAGTGCGATCACGATGGGATACCACAGCAGTTGCACCCTCGGGTGGTGCGACGCCAGCGCCCGCAACTGGTGCCAACGGTGGACGCCCTGCGATGCCAGCATACGCTTTTGGCACAGACATCTCGAACCGCAATGCTCCGCTGTCCGATGAGATGCTCGACATGATGTTGCCCGGCGAGTCGGAAGGATACAAGGTGCTCGAGCCGCCACCAGGCCACGAGCCAGTCCGCCGACCAGTCGGTGTACCGCAACTGCCCACAGGTTATCAGGGCTTCTTGATCCCGGAGGCAGATAACAGTCTAGCAGCCATGGGCAAGCAGCTACCTACTGAGATTCCTGGTGTTGGTGATCTGCAATTCTTCAAGAATGAGGACATGAAGTACTTTGGCAAGCTCACAGACGGGGCAGACGAGAACGAGATGACAGTTGAGGAACTGAAGGAACGCAAGATCATGCGCCTGCTTCTGAAGGTCAAGAACGGAACACCGCCCATGCGAAAGACCGCACTACGACAGCTCACAGACAACGCTCGTCAGTTCGGAGCAGGGGCTCTTTTCAACCAGATCTTGCCCCTGTTGATGGAACGCACATTGGAGGACCAGGAACGTCACTTGCTCGTCAAGGTTATTGACCGTGTCTTGTACAAGCTTGACGATCTCGTCCGGCCCTATGTCCACAAGATCTTGGTTGTCATCGAGCCCTTGCTGATTGATCAAGACTACTATGCAAGAGTGGAGGGCCGCGAGATCATTTCGAATCTTGCAAAGGCTGCTGGACTTGCACACATGATCAGTACCATGCGCCCGGATCTGGACCACCAGGACGAGTACGTCCGAAACACGACTGCGCGAGCTTTTGCCGTCGTTGCGTCTGCTCTCGGCATTCCAGCTCTTCTGCCCTTCCTCCGCGCCGTGTGCCGCTCGAAGAAGTCATGGCACGCTCGTCACACTGGTGTCAAGATTGTGCAGCAAATTCCCATTCTCATGGGTTGCGCTATCTTACCCCACCTGAAGGGCCTTGTCGAATGTATTGGAGAGAACCTGAACGACGAGCAGCCAAAGGTCCGCATGGTCACAGCCCTCGCTCTTGCTGCTCTCGCCGAAGCCGCCAGCCCATATGGTATTGAGTCTTTCGACGACATCCTGAACCCTCTCTGGACTGGTGCTCGCCGACAGCGCGGCAAGGCTCTTGCTTCTTTCCTGAAGGCTGTCGGATACGTCATCCCTCTCATGGACGAGGAGTACTCCAACTACTACACCAGTCAGATCATGGAAATTGTTATTCGAGAATTCCAGTCGCCGGATGAAGAGATGAAGAAGGTTGTCCTGAAGGTGGTCTCCCAGTGCTCCAACACAGCAGGCGTAACGCCGGTCTACCTCAAAGACAACGTCCTGCCAGAATTTTTCAAGCATTTCTGGGTACGACGCATGGCTCTCGACAAGCGAAACTATCGCCAAGTGGTCGACACCACCGTCGATCTTGCCCAGAAGGCTGGCGTTGCTGAGATTGTTGGCCGCATCGTCAACAACATGAAGGACGAGAACGAGGCCTACCGCAAGATGACAGTCGAGACTGTGGACAAGGTCATCAGCACACTTGGCGCACATGACGTTGACCAGCGTCTAGAGGAGCAGCTGATCGACGGTGTTCTTGTTGCATTCCAGGATCAGACAATCGAAGACCCTATCGTCATCGATGGTTTTGCTACCGTCGTTAACGCCTTGGGTGAGCGGACCAAGACTTATCTCCCGCAAATCGTCGCTACAGTCCTCGCTCGCCTGAACAACAAGTCTGCTACTGTGCGACAGCAAGCTGCTGATCTGATTTCGCGCATCACATTTGTTATGCAGAAGTGTGACGAAGATCCACAGCTGATCAAGCTTGCTCAGGCACTGTACGAATACCTTGGAGAAGAATATCCGGAGGTCCTCGGTTCGATCTTAGGTGCACTCCGTGCCATCGTCACTGTCGTTGGTCTCCATGCTATGCAACCACCTATCAAGGACCTGCTGCCTCGACTCACCCCGATTCTTCGTAACCGACATGAGAAGGTACAGGAAAACACTATTGACCTCGTCGGCCGCATCGCTGATCGTGGTGCCAATTACGTCAACCCCCGTGAATGGATGCGAATCTGTTTCGAGCTACTAGACATGCTGAAGGCCCACAAGAAGGGCATTCGACGTGCTGCCAACAACACATTCGGTTACATTGCCAAGGCCATTGGTCCTCAGGACGTCCTGGCTACACTTCTTGGTAACCTCCGTGTACAGGAACGTCAATCCCGTGTCTGTACTGCTGTCGCTATCGGTATTGTTGCTGAAACCTGCGCTCCTTTCACAGTGCTTCCTGCTCTGATGAATGAGTACCGAGTACCGGAGCTTAACGTCCAGAATGGTGTCCTCAAGTCACTATCGTTCATGTTCGAATACATCGGCGAGATGGCTAAGGATTACGTCTACGCCATCACACCTCTTCTCGAGGACGCTCTCATTGATCGAGACCAAGTTCATCGCCAGACAGCTGCTTCCGTTGTTAAGCATGTTGCCCTTGGCTGCGTGGGTCTTGACTGCGAAGACGCCATGATCCACTTGCTCAACTTGCTGTGGCCCAACCTTTTCGAAACCAGCCCCCACGTCATCGACCGCATTGTCGAGGCGATCGAAGGTATTCGCAATGCTGTCGGCACACCTCTAGTCATGAACTACGTCTGGGCCGGTCTGTTCCACCCTGCTCGCAAGGTCCGACAACCGTACTGGCGCATCTACAACGATGCATACGTGCAGTCAGCAGACGCAATGGTACCAGCATACCCTGCATTCGAGGAAGAGAACATGAGGAGACACGAGCTGGATATCTTCATCTAAAAGTGAGAGCTTTCAATCTTTTCTTGAGAATGTCGCCCAGCGTGTATATCATTATTGGCGTGTAGAATGGAGTTTGGGCGTTGTTAACCTTGTATAAGAGCGATGCAGGCACTCTATCGCACGGGAGGGTTTCACACGGAACGATAGTTGGACGCCAAGTGTGGTAACGGAATACAATCTGTAGCCCATTTACGAGCTGATCCAGTTCAGGTTCACGTGAAATCTAGCCATGATCCCTACATCTTCTGAGCCTATGTAGTATGCGGTAAGTCAGGCATGACGTTGAGTTGATTGCTAACACGATACATCAACGACCTCTCACTTCTGGCCAGACGTACGCTTCAGACACCAGAGTCCTCGAGGAAGCCGTCCATTGAGCGCCTAGGCAGCTGTATCCCTCCCATCTCATCCTCAGGTTCGTATTGCTCAATTTTCCTATCGTCTGTCAGCGTTTGAAATCATTGGATTTTCTGGTCTCATCTTGCATGTTCAGATCTGCTACCTGCCTTGCCAACATGGAAACTTGTAGGGCGAGTAAAGTGTCTTTCTGTGTCGCTATATTTGCAGCAATTTGACGTAACCTAGGTCTGCGAAGAAACCACGTTAACCTTGAGAGTGTACTGAGGTGCTGTCGCGATTGTCAGTGGGGCGCGTAGCGAAAGCACGGTTGTCTTGCTCACCTTGTCCTGCAGCTGCGAGCTCATCTCGTCATGCAGCTTTACATTCAATGAACGTACCCGGGCAAGTATCTTCAGTAAGAGTTCTTTCTCGTTGTCTGTCGCGTAGCCTGCATTGGCGTACAGTTCGATTGGATTTAATGCACTGCGAGTATTTTGAGCCTCATGGATCAGAGTGAGCATCTCTTCGCCCGCTTTGTTGTAAGATTCCGTCCACTGCAAAGTGTACTGGAATGAAAGCCCGGCAATCAGCACAATTGTTGCCGATGAAGTGATCAAGGAGTACACTTCCATAGTGCTAGCTATCGTGGGGTCGGTGTCGGCGCAGTTGAGGCTGGGGCTGAGGCCAGACCGTCTTCAAAAGCTTCTCAATCAAGGCAAACACGTGATCAGGCTGAACTCCCCTCAGCTGAGAGGACCCCTGTTGCGTCCAGTCAGGGGTTGGACGTCCAATAGGAGTTCATGATAATGCATGGTGGCTTGGCGAGAATAGTCTTTGCATGCGCGCGCCCGCATCAGCAACGATTTGTGCGTTAGGCATTCTTCAAAATAGCTGCATTGCCCTACAACCTGAACTCATGTTCACTATCGAATTCTTCTTGACCATGCCAGAGCCAGTGTCAATAGCAGCCGCAGTCGTTAGCATCGTGGCCAGCAGCATTAAGGGCCTCGAGATTGCGGTCAGCTATGCCTCGAAATTTAACCTTGCAGATGTGAAGATCCTTGTTTTACGAGGCAGCTGCAAAGCTTTGCAAGAAGCACTAATCCGCATATCGAACTTGTTGTCCACGGAGTCTTTGCACTTCGTCTTGCAGGGCACCTCTGATGAAAGCCAGGCGTCATTCCAACGCTTTGAGGATATCTTCGGCAGCTGCTCCATTACCTTCAACATTTTACACGAGAAGCTGCTACCGCTTCTTTCACCCACCTTCAACGCGGAAGGCACCGTTGCTAAGCGTTCAAAAGTGGCGGCTGTCTGGAATGACTCCACTTTGATGGTGATGAACGACCTGGTTAGAACCGAAATGGAAGCTGTGCAGCTCCTCTTTGCTGCTCTGACGGCGTAAGCAAGCCTGATATACTCAGAGGATCTCTGGCTGACATGATCACCAAAGAAACTCAATCTTCGAGACGCATCGGATACTCACCAGTCAAAACGCCGCAACAGTCTTCCAGAGGGTTGATAACGATACCCGGTCGTTGTTCACAAGCCATCAGGAGCAGTCAATAACCCAGCAAACTCGAGATGGCGCGGAGTCAGTTCTTGGCGATGAAGAGTATCCGGAGATCGACGACATACTGGTCAACAGCAAAGTCTATCGCAGGGTTCTCGAAGTAAACCTGAGGCGAGCCGGACAAAGCATATCAGGACCTTCACAGGCGCAACGCTCCCATGAGGCAGATGCGTCCTACACAAACCAAAATCGACAACGAAATACACCACGATTGACCTCTAGCGGGAACCCAATGTTACACAGTCTTCTCAGATCACGACGCCCTCAACAGCCAGGTGTTGCGCGGCGGCCAAGATCCGTAGTGGACGTTCCCAACCGAGAAGGAGCACAGCCCATAAGGTCAACCTCTCCCTCGTCAGTAGTCACTCTACAAATTGCCGCAACGCCGCGCTCAGCAGACGATCGCTGGGATGAGTTCGAGAGTCTACTGAAAGCTTCAGAAAAAACCATCACCAAGCCCCGAATAAGTGCAGACCACATGAGTGAGTGTATGTAGGATCTAGCCCCGACGCGGAAACTGTTGACTGACGTACAAGTAGTACTTGATGAGCAGACGCTAGAGATCGAAAAGCTGTTAATCGAAAACAAGCGAAAGAAGAAGATGTGAAAGTACGTGCTCAATACGATGCACGGCGAGCAAATCGCGCAATGATTCGAAGAGTCATACACAGTTGTATCGACGAACAACGTACATTTCGTTGCCCACTGACAATCAATCGTAACTCATTGTCAATAGAGCCGAATGAAACGCCCAAGAGTCGCCTCTCCTGCGCTTTCCGCTTGAACCTCGCCACCATATCTGGACCCATGTCCTTTCCACCAAAGATGATATCACGCCAGACGCAGACGGCAAGGACTTTTAAGTGTGGTCTTGAAGATACATATTTATAAATTATTGGAGTCTGCCGCCAGACCTATTCGGAGACTGCATTGATGCTATTCGCCCTGGGCTGCTTCCGTTTCAGAAACCAGGATCGTGTGCTGCAGCTACTGGATACGACTTTCTGTGAACAGCGCAATGCAATCTCGTGAATCAGAATGCCATGCTGTTACTACGCTACATATTCATGGCCCGAGTGCATCAAGGAATTTTCCAAGATTCAATTCGGTCGGAGTGTGGTGCGTTGATAACAAGTGCAATAAAGACAACTCAATTGGCGATATTGTCAGTCGTCTCCAGAGTACGGCTGGAAACCCGGAACTGGATGTATACTTCTTGGACTGGAGGACTCGCGGATCTTGACCTGGGTCTCCCCCTATATATTGGCGGTATATGGTGTATATAGCTTGGCTAGTCTCTTGCTCAAGAAGAGCTACAAAGAAGATCGACTAAGATTGGAAGGATCCTGGATAGACAGCTCGAATCTTGATAGATAAGGCTGGAGAGAAATCTTGACCCGGAACATAAGAGTAGCCGGAACCAAATCTGTTATATGATTATCTGGCACACGTGAGTCCGTGGACCCAATACGCCTTCACTTCGCCCCGCCCAAATCTGCCCCACTTAGGCAGCAACTATTTACCAGCGCCTTCCTCCATAGCTTCCACCCTATTCTACGGCAACCTACCCGCAACTCTTCGCCCACCTGTTGATCCCATCGATACCATGTTGACAGCAAATAGCTTCAAGAGGCGCAAGCTCGCGCACACCACCTTCACCAAGAGTGAACAGGCGCTGCGTCTACTGCCCGATGGTCTGCTCGACGCCACGCCGCGTACTGAGCACTGCGTAAGCATGTATTTGCACCATCATCAATGATGGGGCATCACTGATAGCTCCCAGCAGCATTCGCAATTCACGAGAATCGCCACTTCTGCGTCTGCCAGCGGAGCTGCGCATCAAGATCTGGGCCTACTTATTGGCGTATCGCCATGTCCTCAAGCAGTTTCCCTCACGTTGGCGGCCGGGAAGCGGTAGCTCTGCATCAACCATTCGCCTCGACATACTCCGAGTCTGCCGACAAACATATACTGAGACAGCCCTGCTGCCCTTCACACTCAACTCATTTACCTTCATCACGCCCTGCGACATGAAAGCCACGATTGACTGCTCACGGCTGGGCCACCGCAATGCCATCAGAAAAATTGCTCTCTGGTGCTCGTGCCGCGGAGTCAGGTGCCACGTGTCGAACTATCCTCTCGTGCTTCTTCCCGGATTGGAATCAGTACTGGTGATTTGCCGGCAGATGGCTGATCCAGGTCGGGATCCTCTGAACCAGGCAATTATTGCTGAACATATCAGGGCTCTCACCTGCAAGAGGGGTATCAGTGTATCTTTCACTTAGCGTAGTAGGCGAGCACTGCCTGGTGTGCAGATCAGCATGAGCGGAACATGCCTAGCACACAGTCGGAGTTGCTAATTGTATGTCGGGCAAAGGGGAATCGCACCATGCAAAGTGATCGGATCCGTCTGAGACCGCAAGCAAGGAACGCTTGCACAGAGTGTCTTCTGGTAGAATAGTAACGTGGAGATATGTGCGGCGCCGCAAGCCAACAACAAGAACTCGACTGCTTTTCAAACAATGGAACATCTCCTAGTATTTAATTCAGAAGTGCCCCCGATACCCTCGACGTTGCCAAAGGAGAAACATGCGCGACCGCGTTATCTTTCAGTCCGTAGACACCCGACACCCTCTCACGGCGGAAGTACAACAACAACAAGAACAACAACAACGCTGCCGACACATCATCCCGTGATGCAGCACGAGGCAGCCATAAAGCACGCATCACCCCATCTTCCCAGCCGTGCACGTCTCGCGGTACCCCGTAGCCGAGGAGAAGACTCGAGCCGTGCGCGTACAAGCATCGCGTCGTTCGTTCAGAGCATGACGTATTCAAACCCGCCCAGCCATCGAGGGGTCCATTGCTGATGTTGATGGCTGATTTCGAGAGCAAGACGAAGAAGAGGACTTGAACTCCCTAGCTTCCTATTTCAATCTCGATTTTCGATTTCAATTTCGATTTCAATTTCAATTTCAATTTCGATCTCAACTTCAATATCGATCTCAATTTCAATATCGATCTCAATTTCTATTTCAATCTCGATTTCAATTTGATGTTGATGTTGCAGTTAAAGGAGGACGAGGAGGAAAGGAGGGAGGCAGAAACGTAGCACATACTCTCTCCCTCAGTCCCTCTCGACAAACACACAAAGACGTAAGTGTAAGAGGAGGAAGGGAAGGAAAGCAGAGAAAAGGCAGGAACATAAAAGACTACAGTTCATCTTCTAGTCTGTCAACAGCCTGACAGAGTCTTTGATTAGGGAAGTAACAGGACAGAGGCAGAAACGCTGCACAGTTTCTTCTTTAGTGCCTTTTTTCCATTCAAATTTAAGTTTTAGAATTAACGTGGTCCACCACCGAGCGGATCACCCCACCGAGCGAATCACCAAATGCAACTATATATCTTTGAACGTGAATAACTCAACACAACAACAAGATATAATAGTGCGTAATAGCTTGAA